CAAAATCTTAATGAGAGTGTCCAAATTATTGTGTCAAATATGTAAGGACATGGACCATCTTTTGACAAATTAGTATGTGCCTATTTCCTGTAAATTTATTGTTTTGACATAAGATATTTTTAAGATGGGTAAATCTGTCATTAGCACAGAACCATCCAAAATGGTTTGCATTTTTAATATTTCCACTACACTGTTTCTTTTCTTGTTATAAATGTAAGATATCTTAGTTCTTATTGTGGCATAATGAAAACATTCCTTTTTTTTCACAAGCTGTAAAATAACCTCCTGATCTTGTGCAGTGATTGAACATGTAATGGTATTCTGCTCAGACCTTGTAAAACTGAACTGCAGGAAATTAAGATTTACTCACCTACACTTCTCCTGCATGTTTAAATAAAAACCTATTATTTCTCTTGGGACCAAAACCAACAAGGTATTACATAGCTGACATGGCAAAAATGTTGTTAATCCCATGGCAGAAACATTTGATATGCATAGCATAGAAATGAACATATACAGTTCAGTGTCCATTACCTGTACTCTCAAATTAATACTCATTAGAAAAAAAACAGGGTCCGTAACACACACCAGGGTCTTCCTTGCTAAACTTTAATTTAATTCTGTTCCACCAAGCTACAAAGAAAGCTACTTAATATATGTTTAAGAAAGTGCTACTCTGGGCTTGTTCCTTGTTTGATACTTCTTCCAATTATCTCTTTTCAGGTTTCTCTATTTCAGCTGTTCTTAGGTTGTGTAGGAGGCATAAAATCATAGAATGGTTTGGGTTGTAAGGGACCTTAAAGATCATCTAGTTCCAACCCCCCTGCCATGGGCAGGGACACCTTCCACTAGACCAGGTTGAACAAACCCCGTCCAACCTGGCCTTAAACACTTCCAGGGATGGGGCATCCACAGGTTCTCTGGGAAACCTGTTCCAGTGCCTCACCACACTCACAGTAAAGAATTTCTTCCTAATATCTAATCTAAATCTACCCTCTTTCAGTTTAAAGCCATTACCCCTTGTCCTATCACTCCATGCCCTTATAAACAGTCCCTCTCCAGCTTTCTTGCAGACCCCCTTCAGGTACTGGAAGGCTGCTCTAAGGTCTCCTCGGAGCCTTCTTTTCTCCAGGCTGAACAATCCCAACTCTATCAGCCTGTCCTCATTGGAGAGGTGCTCCAGCCCTCTGATCAACTTCGTGGCGCTCCGCTGGACTCACTCCAACACCTCAATGTCTTTCTTGTACTGGGGACCCCAGAGCTGGGTGCAGTACTCCAGGTGGGGTCTCAGGAGTCGAGGGGGGGGAATCATCTTCCTTGATCTGCTGGCCATGCTTTTTTTTACGCAGCCTGGGATAGGTTTGGCATTCTGGGCTGCTAGTGCACATTGCCGGGTTGAGCTTCTAATCAGCCAACACCTCCAAGTCTTTCTCCTCAGGGCTGATCTCAATTCATTCTCCACCCAGCCTGTAGTTGTGCTGGGGATTGCCCCAACCCACATGCAGGAACTTGCACTTGGCCTTGTTGAACTTCATGTGGTTCGCACGGGCCCACCTCTCCAGCCTGTCAAGGTCCCTTTGGATGGCATCCCTTCCCTCCAGCGTGTTGACCGCACCACACAGCTTGGTGTTGTCAGTAAACTTGCTGAGGGTGCAACCGATCCCACTGTCCATGTTGCCAACAAACATGTTAAACAGCACCAGTTCCCCTGAGGAACACCACTCATCACAGGTCTCCACTTGGACATCAAGCCGTTGACCACAACTCTTTGAGTGCAACCACCCACACAATTCCTTATCCACTGAGTGGTCCATCCATCAAATCCATGTCTCTCCAATGTAGAGACAAGGATGTCGTGTGGGACAGTGTCAAATGGTTTGCACAAGTCCAAGTAGATGATGTCAGTTACTCTTCCCTTATCCACCAACACACCTACAACCCTGTTGTAGGAGGCCACAAAATTTGTCAGGCATGATTTGCCCTTAGTGAAGCCATGTTGGCTGTCACCAGTCATGTCCTTATTTTTCATCTGCCTGAGGATCTGCTTCATGATCTTGCCAGGCTCAGAGTTGAGACTGACCAGCCTGTAGTTCCCCAGGTCTTCCTTTTTTCCCTTCTTATAAATCGGGGTTATGTTTCCCCTTTTCCAGTCAGTGGGATCTTTACCAGACTGCCACAACTTCTCAAATATGATGGATAGTGGCTTACCAAGTTGATCCACCAGTTCCCTCAGGACCCGTGGTTGCATCTCATCAGGTGCCATGGACTTGTGCACGTTAGGGTTCCTTAGATGGTCTCGAATCTGATCTTCTACACTGGGTGGTTCTTCATTCTCCCAGTCCCTGCATTTGCCTTCTGTGACATTTTCCCTAGTCTTCCTTTTATCACTGATGTACCTATAGAAGCTTTTTGTGTTGCCCTTGATGTCCCTGGCCAGATTTAATTCTGTCAGGGCTTTGGCTTTCCTAACCTGATCCCTCTCGGAAAATTTCTCTCTGTTTCCACCAGGCTACCTGCCCTTGCTTCCACCCTCTGTAGGCTTCCTGCTTGTGTCTGAGTTTGCCCAGGAGCTCCTTGTTCATCCATGCAGGCCTCCTGGCATTTTTGCCTGACGTCCTCTTTGTTGGGATGCATCGCTCCTGAGCTTGGAGGAGGTGAACCTTGAATACTAACCAGCTTTCATGGGCCTCTCTTCCCTTCCCCATGGCATTCTACCAAGCAGATCCCTGAAGACAGCAAAGTCTGCTCTCCTGAAGTCCAGGGTGGTGACCTTGCTGTGCACCCTCCTCGCTGCCCTGAGGATCTTGAACTCCACTTCATGGTCACTGCAGCCAACGCTGCCCCTGAGCTTCACATTCTCCACCAGCCCCTCCTTGTTGGTGAAAACAAGGTCCCCATGGCACCTCTCCTCATTAGCCCCTCTATCACTTGGAGGAGGAAGTTATCATCAACGCATTCCAGGAACCTCTTGGATTGTGTATGCCCTGCTGCGTTGTCTCTCCGAGAGGTATCGGGGTGGTCGAAGTCCCCATGAGGATCAGGGCTTGTGAACATGAGGCTGTTACTATCTGTCTATAGAGGGCCTCATCCGCTCGGTCTTCCTGGTTGGGTGGCCTGTAGCACATCCCCACTATTATGTCCCTGCCCTCCCTTTAATCCTGACCCATAAGCTCTTGATCAGCTCCTCACCCATCCCCAGGTGGAGCTCCATGCACTCCAGCTGGTCACTGACATAGAAGGTGACACCCCCTCCTCATCTCCCCTGCCTGTCCTTCCTACAGAGCCTGTATCCTTCCATCCCAACACTCCAGTCACAGGAGCCATCCCACCACGTCTCGTGATGCCAATGAGATCACAGCCCTGCAGGCGTGCGCACATATCTGACTCCTCTTGTTTATTGCCCATGCTACGTGTGTTTGTGCAGAGGCATTTCAGTTGTGCCCGATGAAGCTGACTGACTGGCTGGAGTGGCTGGAGTTCCTCTGTGCTGCCCTTCAGGTGCTCTCCTGCTGACCTGTGATCCTTCTCCAGGCTCTGGGCATCTATCTCTGGCACTGGCATCACACTGATAGGAGTGGGATGGGTTGAAGTCCCCCTTCTGCAGCAATTTTAGTTTAAAGCCCTCTTCACCAGCTTCGCAAGCCTGTAATTGAAGATGCTTTGCCCCTTCCCTGACAGATGGACCCCATCAGCCCCCATTAGACCAGGTTTCTCAAAGTGAGTCCCATGGTCTAAGTAGTCGAGCTCATGGCTGTGGCACCAGTCCTTTAACCATTTGTTGATTCACCAGATTCGACTGGCCCTTTCAAACCCCTTCCCTTTGATCAGGAGGACTGATAAAAAAACTAGTGAGGCATGTTGCCTCCCAGCCCTGCTACACACACCTACACCTCTGTCTCTCATTATGTCTCTCCCACTTTCCTCCTTCCCTGAGATAAGTATGCTTTTTTCCTCAGCTTACTTGTCTTGTAAAAAATATGGTTCCAGCTGGCCCATGCCTCCCCCCTGAAACCAGCTAGGAGCACCTGGGCCATTCTGATCACCACCTCCCCATAAAGACCTTACAGTGCTGGGTGCAGGTCCCGGTATGACCTTTGCTTCACTGCTGGAAGAAGACTTACAGCAAAAAGATTGAGGTGGCTTTCAGACAGCTCTTAAGTTTGCCTCTTCCAAAATCCATATTCAGAAGCAATGCTGCAAATGCTGGATTGGGTCTACTCAGTTGGCCCACACCAAGTATTATTTGTACTTTCAGGCACCAATACTGGCAAATTATCTAATGCACTTTTTTTGTTTATTTATTTGTTTTGCTTGGGAAAAATCTGCAGGGGGGAACTAGTCATAGACTATTTAGTGGGAGCAGCTGCAAAGGCAGCCAAAGCAAGGCCCTTCAGACAGAACTTTTTAAAGGTTTTCGCTGTATCTTCTCCAGCCTATACTATTGGCTTGTTAGGTCAACTTTGTCTTACTTCTTCCTCAGCTATCTTTGTACCTCACATTCACATCTGTAATTGCATTCTTTCTCTGCCCTGCTCCCCTTTCCTCAGTATCCTCATTGTATTTAACCTATCCTTTCCTCACTGCTGCCTCTTAACTCCCTCAGAAACACAACAGAAAAAAAAGACTTTGAAGTCAACCTTTTGCAGATGCAAATCCTACGCTGCATAACCAGGACTACTTTGTACATTGTGTTTATTCAGTTCCTAGTACATAGAATACCTCTTTTTGTCAGTCTTTAGGTACTGGCAGCAAAATCACACATGGAAAATAAAGTAAAATGAACTGAGCTAATGCCAGAGTATGATTTATAAAACACTGAAGTGTTATTATTTTCTAGTGTGAAGACACTTCATCTCAGATGTAACTGAGAAAACAAGTGAATTTTTACTATCAACTGTTTCATACATACAATGTTTTTCCACAGAAATTTTAGGCACATTGCCAATTGTATCGAAACAGATCGGTTGCTGTTGTTAGGAAAGATTTCTTGCTTGCTTTACCTGAGCTGGTAGAAGCAGGAGACTTGCTGCGTCGGGATGGGCCTGGGCTCTTGGTGGTGCTCCTACGTGAAGTCGAAGCTATTTTGGTATAGGAAGTGGATTTCACCACCCGACATTCTAAAAGACAAAGAAACTGCATAAGTTAGCAATTAAGAAAGCCAGCAAGATTCTATAACAGAAAGAGCACTGAAAAGCACAAACATTTAGCCCACGCTTGTTTTCATTCATCTTGAGGAGTTTTATAAGAAAATATAAAATCTGTATAAATGGCTCCATTAAAATCCAAGTACAGTATGTACCACATCCCAGACAAAGAACTGCTACAGTAATCCAGAGTTTTAGATACCATGGTTACTGCAGGTACTTAGGACAACTTAATTTAACAGTGCTGAGACTACACATAAAATTTATTTGCATTTGAAGATTTCAGCACAAGTAATGCAGTGGGTTTTTTTGTAAGCTATCCAAATGCAAAGTAAGCATTTTTGTCAACCTAGCCAGTCTCCTCTAGAAGAACCGGAAGGCTGCTTTTATATATCAAAATGTTAAGATTGTGCAAGATGACGCAGGTGTCTGTCACTCATGAGAGGTTTGAAGAAAGTGAAGCAGGTTTGTTGCTCCTGCTTAATCCTCTGGTGAGCAACAGCCCACATTGTATAGCACACGCAATTCATCACAGGTTGAGGGAAATGGCACTACTTGCTCATAAGAGACATCAGTAAAATCAATGAAGAGGCGAAATTACCCTCCCACTTGAGAACACTGCAAGATGTTCAGGTTAGAGTTTATATACACCCACACAGCTCTGTAGGCATTCTTGCATTACGCCTGCAAAATGGTTCTTGGCCTGAGGATGAAAGAACTTTGTGTGCAAAACACTGATGTCTTGTACTCATAATGGATACTAAATTAATCACCAGACATGTTATACAGTCAGGGAGAAAAAAAGGATTTCCACTTCTTAGCTAATACACAATTAGAAGTCTGCAGTGATGTTTATACTGTCTTCACCTGACGATGTCAGTATATTTCACTTGTTTAAAAATACATCAATAAACATTTAGTTCTATATCAGACCTGTTCCCCATTTTCTTCTCATAGTTAAGGTTCCTCAGCATAGGTTAAGAGAAATAAACAAGAATTTTTTCTCCCTAGTCAGAAAATACCATGTACAAGCCTGCACATTATTTAGTCTTCACAGATGATCAGTGGAGCCTGTAACATAGTTTAGACAGATTAGAGAACAAAGAAATAAAACTCTGCACAACTAATTAACTTAAACATATCCACCAGAGAATGATGTCATGAAGTGTATTTCTCTTGGCTGCCCTAACTGTTTGTCTTTCGTCAAGCTGTTGAAGGAAGCAAGAACTGATGCATTACTGAGGGAACATCCAGCACAGCTGAGAGCAGAGGAGACCAGAGAAATACCCTGGTTTTCCCAAAGAAGCTTTTCTTCCCAAATTTTCCCACCTTCCTAAAGCCCAATATCAGCTAATTTCTTTCTGTTGACATTTTATGTGACTCATTGATGACTGTTCTCATTTTACACTGAACGATGAGTTTACTCTGTTGTAAGAGGAAATTATCAACTGAAAACAGGAGGAATCAGATGAAAGCTTTCAATTAGATTCCACTAGGTAACTACAGCAGGAACCTTACATTGCTGTATTGGCATAAACTGCTGTTCCAGAAACTGTCTATACATGTCAAATGCAAACAGGTTCTTCACCTTTCTTGTAAACAAAGATTTTAAATGTCCAAATTCTGAGCAGCAAACTTCTTTGATAACATAGAACTAAGATGTAATCCCAGTGTGGGCCCCATGCACAGGAATCAGTCGGGAAGGGAACTGACTATTCTACTGGTCAATAAACAAAAAGACTAAAGTAGAATGACCCAGTCAAGCTAAAACAATTAGACTATAGTCATTTGCTTAGCAGAAAAACGTAAAAGTCCATGAAGAAAACAGCTGGGTACTTTCTGTAATATACTTTACTATGTAAAAAGCTTTCCTCTGTTTCCAGCATGTAAAGAGAACAATTATCTGCATCCCTCTCTTGCAATTCATGCTACACACTAAACCTTAATTCTCATCTTATTACAAGTATTAATACTCATTCAAGTTCTCTGAATACCTTTTAAGTACTCAGTGTGAGAATGAGGTTAGAGATATGATTTTGCATTTGAATGTGCATTTCCCCTCATAGTATTAGAAAGGACCAGGCAGAAAGTGGTACGAAAGGAAAGAAGAGGCAACTAAATGCACATCCAGGTTATCTTTCTATCCTTCTGATACAGTGCTGTCTAGGACAATATTCAAGATAGTCCTTATATAATTTGCACCCAACATGTTCAGAATTTAGAAGAAAATAATTATTAAAGGGTTATTCTTCTTCATCTGGGGTTTGTCTCACATGAGCAAGGAAGGTGTGCATGAACTTAACTGCAAAGGCTAACTGCATCTTGTCACCATCTTCCTTCTCTCTCAGCAAAAAGTGCTCCTGCTCACGTACTATGGAGGGGTACTACCATTTCTGGGAAAGAGGGAGGCTGGCAGCTGGCTGCACCCATCAGGGTATTTGACCACCCCTCACTACTGACAGTCTCCTTAGAAAGGGTGATGTTAGTAGTGGTCTGCAAATTTTCCTGATAGACTACATATAGACCATGACCTGTTATTTGAGTATCCCTGTACTAGTGGCATATTATCCTATGAGGAAGCCACTTCTCAGAGCTAGGTGAACAATAAATCTCTCACCACTGGAGCAGAAACACAGATGATTGTATGTTCAAATGATAATTCGAGAAATGAACAATTATCACAGGATCATAGGTTAATCCAGGTTGGACATGAGAAGATCTCTAGTCCAATTTCCTGCTCAAAGCTAGAAGTAGCCTCACATTCACAGTCCTGGTCCACTTGGGCGTCACTTCAACCAACCTGAGGAACAAAACAGCAGGGCATAAACAGACCAGGAGGATCCTGGAAAGCAACAGCGACAACTTCCTGATCCAAGTGGTAGAGAAACTAGAGAGGAGAGATGCTCTGCTCACACTCACAAAAAAGGGCAGGCTCATTGGGGATGTGAAGACTGAAGGCAGACCATGAGATTCAGGACTGTGAGAGGATGGAGCAGGCAAAAAGCAAGATCACAATCCTGGACTTTAGGAGAGTAGATGGGACTCTTCAGGGATCTGCTCGGAAGAGTCTCATTGGATAAAGCCCTGGAGGGAAAAGGGTCCCAAAAAAGCCGATTAACATTCAAGGATCACCTCCTCCAAGCTCCAGAACAGTCCATCTCAACAAGCAGGAAGTTGGGCAAAAATGCCAGGAGGTCTGCATGCATGAACAAGTTGCTCATGGCAAAATTCAAACATAAAAAGGTAGTATACAAAAGGTGGAAGCAAGGACAGGTAACCTGGAAGAAATATAGAGCAACTTCGAGCATGCAGAGACACAGTTAGGAAAGCTAAAGCCCAGCTAGAAGTGAATCTGGTGAGAGATGTCAAGGGTAACAAGAAGTGCTTCTTTACATACATACGGAACAAAAAGAAGATTAGGGAAAATGCATATCCACTGCTGAATGAGGCAGGGGCCCTGGTGACACTTAACATGGAAAAGGCTGAAGTACTGAATGTCTTCTTTGTCTGAGTCTTTACTAGCAAGACTGACCTTCAGGAATCCCAGGTCCCAGAAGCAGAGGGAAATCCTGGAGAAAGGAAGATCTAGTCTTGGTGGAAGAGGATCAGATTAGAAAATATTTAAGCAAAGTAGACGTACATAGGTCCACAGAACCTGATAGGATGCAACCCCCAAGTGGGTGTTGGCTGATGTCATCACAAAGTCATTATAAATAATCTTTGAATGATCAAGGTGGTTGGGATAGGTGCCTGAAGACCCAGCAAATCTCAGTCCTATCTTCAAAAAGGGCAGAAAGGAGTACCCAGGGAACTACAGACAGGTCAGCCTCACATCAATCCCTGGGAATGAATCTTGAAAATTATTTCAAGGCACATTAAGGACAAGAAAATAATCAGTAGTCAGCATGGCTTCACCAAAGGGAAGTCATGCTTGACCAACTTGATAACTTTCTGCAATGAAATGACTGGCTTGGTAGAAAAGGGGAGAGTAGTTGATATTGTTTACTTGGACTTCAGTGAGGCTTTCAATGCCGTCTCCCACAAGATCCTCATAGACAAGTTGTTGATGTATGGGTTTGATGAGCAGATAGCAAGGTGGATGGAAAACTGGCTGAGTGGCTGGGCTCAGAGGATGGTGATAGGTGGCATGAAGTCTAGCTGGAGGCTAGTAACTAGAAGTGTACCCCAGGGGGCAACACTGGGTCCAGTCCTGCTCAGTATGTTCATTAATGATCTGGATGATGGGGCACTGTACCCTCAGCGAGTTTGTACATGACACAAAACTGGGAGGAGTGGCTGATATACCAGAGGATGGCGCTGCCATCTAGAGGGACATTGACACACTGGAGATATGGGCAGACAGGAACCTTATCAAGTGCAACAAGAAGCAGTTTGAAGTCCTGCACCTGGGGAGAAACAACCCCAGGCACCAGTATATGCTGGGGGTCACCCAGCTGGAAAGCAGCTTTGTAGAAAAGGACCTGAGTGTCCTGGTGGACAAGATGACCATGAGCCAGCAACACACTCTTGCTGCAAAGAAGGCAAATGGTATCCTGGACTGCTTTAGTTTTGCCAGCACGTCGAGGGAGGTGATCCTTCACTCTGCTCAGCACTGGTGAGGCCACATCTGGAGTGCTGTGTTCAATTCTGGGCTCCCCAGTAAAGAGAAACATGGACATACTGGGGACAGTCCAACAAAGAGTCACAAAGATGATTAAGGGACTGGAGCATCTCATATGAGGAAAAGCTGAGGGAGCCAGTACTGTTAAGACTAAGGAAGAGAAGACTCAGGGGGAATCTTATCAATGTATATGAATACCTTAAAGGAAGGTGCAAAGAAGATAGAGCCAGGCTCTTTTCAGCAGTGTACAGTGACAGGACAAGAGGTGATGGGCATAAACTGAAACACAGGAGGTTCTGTCTGAACTTTTTTACTGTGAGGGTGACTGAGCACTAGAACAGGTTGCCCAGAG